TTTCAACGTTATGCATGAGTTTCATGTATGTACAATGCGTTGGATTATTTGCATTTCTAAGGGTGCGTTTATGCTTGATTTTGAAGGTAAAATGAACGATCTAAAACGCTCATCGTAAACGGTCATCGTTATCGCAGTTCCACGGTGTACTGTTTATGCTCACTTCTCTGGCTCCTCCAGGAAAATCTGGCCGGGTGGCCTTGCAGCTGGATTCGCAAACCTGCACTGGTATGGTATGCTACGTAGACCCACTAGAGGTCAGTGCGTTGACCCCATTTAAACGCGTTTACAAATGATTGTGACTTTATGCTTCCCAGAATCGCCGATTTTGCAGCATCACCGATCGTAAACGCACCTTTTTGTGAGTTTACGATCGGCGAACGTGATCGCCGTTTTTCGGTGATTCTACAAAAATGAGAAAGGACGCAACCGTGTTTTGAACTAAACGCGTAACAGATGCCTGATTCTGGCCAGAGAAAATTGAGCATAAACATACCCTCAGGTACTTAGACAGCAAAACAGGGTCAGGAAGAGGGGGCTGGGGTAGTACAGACTTGGTATTTGGAGAGTTAGAATGAATATCCCCAGGTTATCGAATTCCTGAATTTTTCAGTTATTGAAACTTAACCTTTTATAAAACATTTTAGAAAAAGCAAGCAAATTAAAACATATGATCAAATATTTATGAGACTGAGGCTGGGTTTTAGTCGTTTTAGTACAGAACACGGTAGGGACTTTTGTACCGTTGAATACCACTGAAATGTATGCCTCTGCCTGAGGGCGTATCGACCAAGCCAAAAATTGTTCTAATAAAATTAGGATTTATTTTCAAGAGTTGACTTAAACACACAGGGAAATCTTAGCACATTTTTAAATTGTAATAATGCCATAGATTGAAAACTATGCAAGACAAATATTAGGATGCCCCAAAAAACAAAAAACAAAAAACAAAATATATAAAAAGTGTTTAAAACGGTCAAGGAATGGCCGTGGTCTGTAGGACGGCATCCTAACCGATATCAGTGCTTGTTTGTATCTAAATGGATTGACCAAGTTTCAAATCATGCTAATTTCACGGTTAAGTTTTTAAATAGCCGTGCAACTATGTCCTTCCTGATTTAATAAGTCTTCTCTTTGGCAATTGTAGCCAACATGTTTTATATTTCATAAACTTCTTTCCATTCAACACAAAATAATTTTCTGACTTAAATATACGCTAGATTCAGCCATTATCTGATTACTAGTAACTACTGTTTTGACTAAAGTACTTGAAAAATATGTCGTAATAAGTGAGTATGTATATACCAAACTGTATATTCATTGACTTACACCTATACTCATTTTTTTATATAAAAGACAGTCCAGGAATGACCAAGGTATATAGCCTTTAGTACATTGTCTGTGCGTCTAAGTTCATGAGTAACACTGATATAGATTTTTACATCCATTAACAGGACTGGTGTGGACCGCGGTCCCCCAACTGCCAAACGCTATAGAGTGGTGCTAGGTTTATAAACTAACCAAATAATTCACAACTCAAGATCATGGTTAGTGTTTTCATTTTCGATTCTTTTGAAATAAAATTACTGAGGTTTGGACTCCTAAATAGCTCAAATAAAACGGTGCACTAGTATATGATAATTTAGAAACAAATTTGCCCAATATTCCATGAGTAAGAACGAGAATACAGTATTTTTGTGAATAAAAGGTGTATTTGTCTGCATCTCCCATGATAAATTCATATTCATAACGCATAATTCATATCGATGCAAATTTCTAATATGTTCTGGCGAATCCCTATATACCTAACCATCCACTGAAATGGGGCGTTTCTTCGTCTGACGACACTCGGCATACCATTGTGATGCTAATTTAGAGTACCCAACGTAATTTCAACGTATAGTTTAATGTGTGTATAATGTGTTGGATTATTGCATTTCTAAGGTACATAGACAACATGACAGGGTCATGAAGAGGGGGCTGGGTTAGTACAGGCTGGGTATTTTGAGAGTTAGAATGGATATCCCCTGGTTAACGAATCTCTGCATTATTGAGTTATTGAAACTTAACCTTTTATAAAACATTTTAAAAAAGCAAGCAAATTAAAACATATGATCAAATAATTATAAGACTGAGGTTGGGTTTTAGTAGAGACCACACACTATACCATTGGAATATAATGCCTCTGCCTGGGAGCGTATCGACCGGGCGAAAATTTGTTCTGACTAAATTAATATTCATCTTCAAGAGTAGACTTAAAACACACAGGGAGATTTCAGCACATTTTAAAATTGTAAACTGCAATAGATTGAACACAGGCCGATTTCAATATTTGTTTACATAGATATTCCATAGTGTTATTATGCGAGTGTGTGAAGCGATTAGGTGGGAAAATGTACTTTGTGGTGTAAAAACAATAGAAGTAAATCACAGTCTAATGCAATTTCTGAAGTATAAAATACGTAGCAAACCTTGCTTCTAAATTTTAATATAGCTACAAATGAAATTAGTCATCAGAGCTAATAGATGAATCTTAAACGATTTACGCATTGGAGAGTGATCAGAATTGAATGTAAAACAATAAATAAACTAGCTTTATTACCTTAATTCTTTGTATACAATGTAATTTTGTGTACTTAATTTTGAAAGAGAGTGATGAGAGTGAGAATGGATGTAGTACAGTACATAACATGTATGAAAGGAAGTGTAGTTTTATGATATACATATCGTGATTCTTTAAAAAAAATGAAGTGTGTCTTCTTTTTTCTTGATTACTATTAAATAAAAAATAAAAAATTCTCCAAATCATGTCATCCATGTAGATTATTTTCCTGCGAAATTGTAATTATCTGTATATTTTTCAAATCGGATTCTTTGACATCTGTTTGATAACGAATTGATTTGTCATGAAGTATGACAAAAGTTTAAAGGGAAATACTGCTCAATCTAGTTTAATATGAACAAGAGAGTGAGAGTGAGTGAGTAAGAAGGGAGAGAGGGAGAGAGAAAGAGCGAGAGGGTGCAAGAGAGGGAGAGAGTGCGGGAGATAGGGGAAGAGAATGCATGTGAAAGAAAGAGAGGGAGAGAGAGATAGACAGAGAAGAAAGAAAGAGACAGACAGACAGACAGAGGGAGAGAGACTGAGGAGTAAGAGATGAAGACAAGAGGAGATATGTTGATTTATGAGAATAAGACTCCAAATGTGAATATAATTGACACTTGATATAAAATTGGTAAAAGACAGTAAGGACATAATGTGACACAAATCGAGTACAAATAAAGCTTTTGGTTCGCTCGCTACTGTCATGACGTTCTTCAAATCATTTTGAGACTAAGTTCAATAATTGTTGTAAAAGGTTGAATCAGTGCCCCGTAACCGATTGCATTTAAACTTATTTCTATATTTCTTTCTTTCTTTCTTCTTCGTTCCTTTTTAAGATTTAAACTATACTTAACAAACACAACGTCATATTTGAATAATGGCAACAAACAGACATTGTATTTTCCCTCGGTTTAAAACAGTCATAAAGCAGGGCATTTTTGGTAGAGATGCGACTCACAGTTACCATGGTTACAGGGCTAATCGTGGTAGAGCATGAACATGAGGAGCCACTCTATTTTAAAAGTACCCCCCCCCAAAAAAAAAAAAAAAAAAAAAAAAATAAATAAATAAATAAATAAAATAAAAAAATAAAAAATAAAAAATAAAAATAAATAAATAAATAATAATAATAATAATAATAATAATAATAATAATAATAATAATAATAATAATAATAATAATAATGATAAAAGAATAAAAAAATAAATAAAACAAATACATACATAAATAAATAAATACATTTTTTTTTTTAAATATTTAAAAAAATTAATAAATGGAAAAATGAGAAGAAAAAAATGGAGAAAAAAACAACAAATGAATGAGTCAGTATCTCGACAAAGAGGACGAGGAGTGGAAGTGCTTCAAATCAGTTGTCTCGAGGCTGGAAAATTCATAAAATGCTCTTGACCTTTTAGGAAATTCTGCCTGTAAAATATACTGGTCTTTGCCTGCAAGTTTATATATCAAATAACATTTGCTAAGCTTATAAGTGAAGTCCTTCCTTTCTCTATCCTTCAACGTACCCCCACCGTCCCCTTCTTCTTCTCTCTCTCTCTCTCTCTCTCCTTCTCTCTCTCGCTCTCTCTCTCTCTCTCTCTCTCTCTCTCTATATATATATCTTTCTCTCTAGAATTATGTCAACTTGACGTAATTTGAAATTAAATAGCTTGATCTGATGTCGAACTCGCTTTGAATAAACAAAATCAATAGTCTATACGTATCACGTCGATTTTGATGAATCGTTTATTTATTTGAATAGCAATTTAATTAGTGACTTTCGCACGCCCTTCCAATACGCGATGTCTGTAATGTATAGGATTCGTTTTCATAGCTGAAATGCCCTATTTCATGCTTTTCTATCGATTTTGTTGATGTTTTGCAATACTAACAGTTTTATTTGTCAAGTCATCCTAGGCCTTTCACTTACAACATGCCTGACATCATGCCTAAGAGAAACATAATTTATCAAAAAAAAATCTCATTCACATGATTATAGTCAGTTGGAGTTATTAATTCTTTTACAAAACCGTCTCAAATCATTGATTACGATAATTTTTAATCGCAGCCGGAATGATCATTGGCCACATCCTCCTACCCTCACATTTAATTTTCGCATATTCAGGAAAGAGGAAACAAATGAAATTTGTTATGAGTAATACATTTTATCTCTATCTCTCTCTCTCTCTCTCTCTCTCTCTTTCTCTCTCTTTTCTTTACCCCTCTATACTGGCTTTGGTTTTGATATCGACTGGACCGTCTGTTTGCTATACAATATCCGTGCACCAATAAAAGACAGACAAACAGTAAAAAATTAAATAAATACATTTTTTTATTACAATGCACCGATCCATAAACACACGATCATCCCACGTATTACGAACGCTCCGTTGAATTCTTGTTCCATAACACACGGTAACTGCGGTTTGCGGTGTTGCCATTGACGTGTTGAGTTGAAAATGGCGTCGCAAATGAACTAGTTACTGTAGTCAAAATGGCGACTCGGTAAAACGGTATCGTTTCAGATTAAGTGTGTAGGCCTACTCAATTCGCGTGAACGAGATACTTCCTCATTTCATAGCTGAATTTAGATATTCACAAAGGTATGTTCTTGACTCATTTTACTAATGGCTCTCATCGTGATCTTGTTTCCTATATTTTGTCAGATATGATGGCATCCGTAAGCGAATAGCCTGTTGAGTATATGTTTACGTTATCAAGGCATATTACTTGTCTGTGTTAATTCATAAGATAGGAATTTTGATATTTGTTGATGATGATAATAATGATTTTTATCTATATACAGGAAAGGAGTTAATGACAATTCCACATCTAATTATGCATAATATACCATGTAATGCCTTTATAGGATGTAAATCACTTTATTTAACATGATTATTTCTATAAATAAACGTTTGTAGAGTCTTTTAAGGCAAGTTTGAAGTATTTTGTGTTTAATAGTAATTTATAGGGCAGTTTTTAATTATCTGTAATGTTATTATTAGAATTATGTATTATTATTGCTGTATGTTTATTTTACGTTGTACCTTATGTTAAGCGCTTAGAAACATTGTATTAAGCGCTTTATAAATGTAATTTATTAATATTATTATTATTATGTTGCATATTTGCAAAGCAGATTCCCAAAATTATCACATAAGGCCTAATAATAGCAAGAATGTTTATTGAAATGCAACACAATGTATTGCCGTCTTGGAATTTGGAATAATACTTCCACGTCCTTTCCTCTTTTTCTCATTCGTCCTCGATCTTCTCCTCCTCCTTCATCTTTCTAAACAAACGCCTGTGTCTACCACTTTTCATTTTGGCGGTCTTTAATTCTATGAAACTAATGACCGATTTGTTTTTCCCCTTTATTTTTTTTCATATGAAAAAAGTTATCGTAAGCAGATAGAAAGATGGATGAGACAAGAGCTCTTCTAAGTATCATCTTGCTCTTGGCAGTATCACTGTCATTAGGTAAGATCAATATCACTTCTTTCAATTAGGTCAACTTTATCATTCTTGTCTGCATATTTTGTTTACTTGCAGAACATTTCTATAGGATATAATCTCCACCTGTAATTACCGTTTCCTTACAACTCTCTCGTCCTCATTCTTAGTTTCAAAGCGCCCGACATAGCAATACTTTCTGTATGAGCCTATATACAAGCTGACGTAACCATAATTCAATACATGCATTTATGATCGATAATGAAAACGTTAATTATTATAATATTGAATATGTGGCGTCACCTGTTCAGGGAGGAGAAAAGCGATATGCATCGATCGGGCCTCTCCTTTCTGTTGTTTGCAGTAGTATATGAAGAAAAACAATATTAATCAAACATGATAAAGATAAAATAACATGAAAATGATACCAATATGATATTGGCTATGGCAAAGCGCTCATTATTACCCATAACTCATCGGGATCCAAGGAATTCCCTTTTCCACAGATATTCCTCCTGGGGGTTGTTTCACAAAGATCCTAAGTTGAACTTATCTCTAAGTTGGACTTAAAAATTATGGAAAGCCATTAGCATTTTTGAAAATATTTTGTAAAAGTTATTTTAAAAGGCATAAAATGCTGATACAAATCATTAATATTTTCTATTATCAAGGAGATGACACGTTCTTGATGTGGAATTAATGTAAAGTGTAAAATAATTAAATTTTTGCTTTTGAATACATTTTATTTTATGGCTTCAAATTGCTCTCCATAATATTTAAGTCCAACTTAGAGTTAAGTTGGACTTAGGATCTTTGTGAAACACCCCCCCCCCCTCGGTCTTACATAAGTTATACACTTGGGTGGAGAGAGTAAATGTAGTATCGGTGTCTTGCCAAATGACACAAACCAACGACCTTCTCCCAGCCAACATTTGTCATACCATTCAACTACAACCCCTCGGCCCTCTTTATAAGATAAAGGTGTTTCTTATATAATACCATGGACCTACTATTACTGCAGTTGATAAAGTAAAACTATGCACAAAGAAAGTAACATGAGTATAGAGAAGTCTATTCAAATTATATAGCACAACCTGTGTTTTTGTTAACCCGTTCGGAAAAAAAGAGTTGCTGTTAAGCTATACTCTAATTATGAATAGATAATATCGGGGGAAATGTGCTAACTTTAAAACTACTCATCATGCATTCGGCTGATTCATCATCCTTTTTGTTAAAGATAAAGACCAGTTATGGTCATGCGATTGCATTGTGAAAGAAACGTTGTGAAATCGATCAGAAAAGGTTGATCATCTAGCATAGATGTACTGCAAGGTACTGGAATCATCAAAATGATAAGAAATTTGGCCCAGTCTTCATAAAGTTACAAGCACTGTACACAGAAAGATTTATATGGGACTACGCACACGTGCGCGACACGTGCGTTTTTATCTCTCACATGATGATAGATAAACTAATTTACCAAATATATCAATTAGTAGGCGGTTTCCCGGCAAATTTGTTATCATCATGAATTATTCAAAACATATTCTTTCACATGATTGGTAATAAGAGCTTCCATTTCATTTTTTGAAATTTGGGCGTTTCCAATACTGGTCTTTACCTTTAAGTTGTTTTTGGTTTTCATTTGTGTATCCTAGTTTCGGGTGATGTTCTGAGCATGGGAACGATGATTGATTGGGAAGATGAAAGCACACACTCCATCTTTGATGTCATGACTAGATTCAATCTTTATGGTTGTTATTGTGGATTCGGTGGACAAGGTGTCCCTGTTGACAAGATTGACTGGTAAAGACATACTTCGTTATTTATTATACCAAGCTACTATTCTTAAAGGGGAAGTACACCCTGAAATTAAGTTAGTTTTAATAGGAGTAGAAAAAAGAGAGAAACAAGTCGGTGAAAGTTTGAGCAAATTCCGATTAAAAATAAGGAAGTTAGGATTTTTGAAGTTGTGATCAATCAAACACAAATTGGCAACTCTATGACGTATCATGCGAGCTCAACTTTCATTTGCTCAGTACTAAAAAAAATCTAAAATTTTCATTTTCCCTCAAGAAAAATTTCAACCATACATGCACCCTAAATATAATAATTGCAAATATGTTTCTATACTCCCCCTGCAAGGAACAAATATATATTCCGTCATCAATAACGAAGAAAACATGATTTTATGGAATATTATGCACAAAGCTAATGAAGGAGAGCTCGTATAATAAGTCACAGAGTTGCCAATTTGTATTTGATTGATCACAACTTCAATAATTCATAACTTTCTTATTTTCATTCAGAATTTGCTCAAACTTTCACTCACCTGATTTTCTTATTATTCTGCCTCTATCGAAACAAACTTATTTTGGGGTTGGACTTTCCCTTTAAACAATTTCATGTTGAAAGTAAGTTGATTGAAAAACAAAGACTCGGAGAAATATTTCTCTGAAAAAATAATAATGGAAATGTTTTTATGGCTTTGTCTGTTTTCGTGCATCATATGAAACATAAATTAGTTCCATCATTGCTACCAAACTCATCTCAGGTATTAGATTCTGTATGTCTATTTTCGCTAATGGTAATTGTTATAAAACGAGTAATCAAATTTTTGAAAAACTCATGAAGTTGTCAGGTCTCAAATAAACAGAAATGTATTTTTTCAATACTGATTTTTTTTTTATCCCATTCAATGTAAATATTTATACAGTTGATGTTAAAGTTTAACCGTGATAACTTTAATTCTCATGGATGTGGGAAATATTTTTAGATGAGGTTCCTCTAGCATTTGAGTAGCTAGCTAATGGGACGCTAACGTGTCTCTTGGTGTACATCATCTCTGACGGAAAAACCTCAATTGACACTGTGAAAATGACGGACAAAGAAAGAGGACAAAATATACAGTTCCCCAGGTAGATAAAGGAATATCCCTTCCCTGCTATTATGTAAAAATGTGTAGAACAGGTGTCACATGCATATTCACCTGTTCTACACATTTTTACATACTAGCAGTGAAGGGATGTTCTTTTGTCTACCACAGCAATTGTTGAGGTTAGAATGAGGAACTGTATATTTTGTCCTCTTTCTTTGTCCGTCATATTCATAGTGTGATAATCTTGTTTCGGTAGTGTTTCGATGAATCATCCCCACAATTCGATACAAATAACCTACTAATCCTTGTACATTTGTTTTGTTTTCGTTGTTGTGTTAAAGTTGTTGTCGGGACCATGATGAATGCTATGATAACCTAGCAAAAGATGGAACATGTATGAGTGGAGATACAGGAGTGGGCAAGGTCTACAAATACACCAAGGTTAACAACGATGGCAAACACACTGTCCAGTGTAGTAAGTAATTTATTCTTTTTCCCAGCTTTTCTTACTTTATTCTTCTTTCTCCTATTTTCTCTTCTTTAGACTTCCTTTAATGATATAACAGTCAGACAAAATAAAAAATGTTTTTCTTAATGAATATATCTATGTTACATGCTTTGAACCCACCACCACCACCACCACCACCACCACCATCAGCACTCTCATCATCATGATCATCGTTGTCGTCATCAATATCAACAACAACAATAACATTATCATCACCATCATCACACTCATCATCACCATCATCATCATCATCATCATCATCACTATCATATTTATCATCATCGTCATCGTCATCAGTACAATATAATCATTTAATCATGAACGTTATTTGGCAACTTCACAATCATGAAATAATTAAAAACTCAAAATCGTTATAAATTATGTTTATTCACGTCCAACTTTTATATAATGTTTTTCTGGATTCTTTTTTTCAAACAGGATTCCTTTTTAACTGAAGGATAACTTAATACTTTTCTTTTCTTTTAGAGCCCAGTTCAGACACGTGTGCAGAGAAGATATGTGCATGTGACAAGGCCTTAGCGGAGTGCTTCTCTACAAATGAACCATATTATAACAGCGCCAACAGGAACTACAATCGAGGTAGATTGTGCGGTAAACAAATGGCAAAATCCTGTCCAAATTTCAACTAGAAACCGTATTACCCAGGAGGAAAGATTTTCCAGTAAAGATCTTCTAGCAAAAGATTTTTTTTTTTCATTTGGAATAAAACTGGATTGGTAGAGGTAATTTTTTTTCTCCAACCTAGTGCATCCCTTTTCAAAAGTCTGTTACTCAAAACCGTCAAACTTACGGTGATGAAAACATTGAATAATAAGAATCTATTTTCAAATAGTGTTTGAGGATGATGTGTTTAGTTCAATCATCGCATCTTCATCATGTTCTCAACATAAAGGCCCGAATTCACAAAGCAAGGTTTGAGCTCAGACCAAGGTTTGAGCTCAAACCTCCTTTTGTTTCGCCAAACCTCCCTTTGTTATTTACAAACCAGGTTTGTAAATAACAAAAGGAGGTTTGGCGAAACAAAAGGAGGTTTGAGGTCAAACCTTGGTCTGAGCTCAAACCTTGCTTTGTGAATTCGGGCCAAAGATTTCAGAATGTCGAGAGGTGTACAGCCTCCATGGGTCACGATAGGGTAGGTACAGGGCCATTTATACATAGAGTTTGGCCAATCCAGTTCGTCTTGGGCGTAATATAGCGAATAAAGCTTTGTTGGACAACAATAACACAAAAGAATATGCGCCATGTTTTGACATACTGAATCCAAGTTGTCCAAACTCTGTATATAGATGGCTCTGGTTGAGTGATTGTAACATTGCCCTCTGACGGTGAAATGGTGTAAGTGAATTTGGTGTAAGGGTTTGTTCACACATGCCGTGGCACAATGTGAACAAACCTGTAATCGTGATATCCTCATTCTAAAACGCCATGACCCGCTAGGCTGCTCATTTTCACTCGAAGTAGAGAATTATTGGTCGATTATAATATACGGGCCTACTAATACTATGCCAAGTATTTTGTTTATGCTGGGTGCCATTTTTTTAAAGTGAAATCCAAATCTAGTTAAAATTGACATAGGTATGGGTTATTTCAATTGGCTGAATCGGTATATGTCTCCGCGATGTTATGGCGGCAAACTTTCCATTTGTTCAAACGCAAAAGTGACTAAATTTCCAATTTAAAAAAAATGTGTGACTTGGGATGTTTTTGTATTGGTTTTTAGAGGGCCTACAGTAGTATACTCTCCATACTATATTGGGTAGTACCCCAAGGGTGAAGGCACACAGGAGAAAAAATGAAATTAGTGATATTTCGTACTACAAACGGGGGGCACTGTGTCGCAGTCCATTGTCCAAACTTTCATGATTTTGCTTCCCTGATCTTTTTGTTTTCATTCAAATGAACTTGTTAAAAATATTGGATTTCCCTTTAAGATCTTTTATTGTATTAAACCATTTGAATATTCTCACATGAACCGTTCTTTACCGTCTATTACAGCTAGTAACCAGTTAAAATATTATGATTAAGTACTGTACAACTGGCGTAGAGATTACCTCACTGAAGATTACTTAAATTTAGTAGAATTTCTTAGCTTTTCTGAATCAGTACTTCCTATATAATTATGATGGTTTAGTTTCTCTAATCGTTATTCAGAGAAGACGGTAAGTGGAAATATTCAGTACGATGATTAATCAGCTGTAAACTTATCGCATACTTTGCATTTTTGGAAAACATATTTAACATGTAGAAGAGAGACAGTTAACGATTGGTTGATTTGGGTTTAGTGCTTTCTGTTTTTGTTGTTCATTAATTTATTCTGATATACTTTGCTGTGAAATTAGTTGTTATATTCTTCTTATTTGTCCATACTGTAAGACTCGCTTAATCTCAACGCCGGAAACTAAGAAAATATTTCATCTCACTCAAATTTGTGTGTGAGCTTTACATCGATTTCCACCACCGGTCAGTCGGAGAGGACCTAAAGCCGTTGGTTTTCTGGTTGTTTACTAACAAGCATTTATTGCTTTCTTAGCTGTCAGGTAAAATAACCACCACCACCACTATATTTCTATAAAGTACTTATATATTACCATACATATATATACATATGTGTGTGTGTTTGATGTATTCATCTCGGTCCAAAATATTTAAGTGAGGTAGATTTTATCAATTTTTGTTTATATCACCTTGATTTAGAGTAATTCATTTGAATTCAGTCCACCTTTATTTTATATAGAAACAGAATATCCACCATTCTCATTCAGTGTAGCAGTACTAATATTAATGATGCAGTAATTTAGGTTTAATTCAGACAAAAGCTCTTGATTTGTAAACCCATTTTTAAGGTAAAGTAAATGTATTTAGTCATATTATTGCTTTACAATGTAAGCATTGAATTATTATTGTTCTTCTTCTTCTTCTTTTTTTTCTTCTTCTTCTTCTTCTTCTTCTTCTTCTTCTTCTTCTTCTTCTTCTTCTTCTTCTTCCGCTTCATCTTCTTCCTCTTTTTCTTCTTCTACTTCGTATTATTATTATTATTATCATAATCATAATCATTACATAATCATCATAATCATTTTCAATGAGTATGAGCAAGCTCACATGGTGAATGTTACGTGTACCACATGAATGTATATTTTGCAACAGACTTTATCTCAAATATAGATTATCTTTTCTCATTTCAACTTATATGGTTCATGGATTTATTTCTTCTAGACTGTAATGAAGATTAAAGATTTAAATATGTTTCCAGATATTTGTTTACCAGGGGCCAATTTTTATTTGGACTGCCTACCCCGATGCCGAGGTCGGGGGGGGGGGGGTTCCTAAAATTGTTAATATATTGCTGTAAACGACTTCTTGGCCTTAAAATGCAAAACAAAACTATACGGTGGATACGTCATTGGAGAAGATGTAAGTGGAAGTGTGAAGATTGATTAAAAAAAGTGGAGAATATATCACCTATTACTCATAACAAGCAGACAGAGACATTGATAGAAAGTGTGTGTGTGTGTGTGTATGTGAGAGAGAGAGAGAGAGAGATAGAGAGAGATTATAGGAGAATGATAAAGAGCGGGATCGAGACTGGAAGGAAACTTCATACGTTTGAAAAATACCATCTTTAAAAGGGTAAAACTCTTGTGATAAGAGCGGAACAATATTTTGAGCTATATTTCAACAAAATTCTTGGCATTGTAGATTACAAAGAAATATGCCAAAATATTTTCATAGAAATAACAGCATTGCTGCAAAAGACCGTGTACATACAGTTTGATGTGGCTCATAATAGCAATATTGATTGACGTTCATTACTTAAGCTTTCCTGCAAAACGATCTTCTAAAATTAGATGAAAGTAAAGTCTTCAACGATGCTAGGGTGCGATATTAATTTCATTTTTATAAATCATAGTCATATCACATGGCGTCATAATTGCATATATTCAACGGATACATTATTTTTGTTGAGTCATCACAAAATAACACAACATGAATATCGTACGAGGTGTCACAGTCTTTGTCATTAGAATAAATAATCTCAATTATATAGAATCCTTGCCGCGGTACTAATGCTTATCAGGATATTCTTGCTAAACTTGAAGTTAATCTGGTAGCAAAACAAATGAGAATGAAATGGAACCTATTGGACATAACTTTATTGTACAAAAGAGACATGTAATACATTTAAATAATGCTAATTGCAAATGTTCCGTCAGTCAACGATTTCCCAAGACATTTAGAGTAAGTTCCAGAAAGAAAGGCCAAATAAAAGCTCAACATTAATATATTTTCTTGAGTCATGACTTTGTGACTGTGCATAGCGCTAATACACATCTATGAGCTATAGCAATATTTACAATTAATTTGGTCTAGTTTACCCAGGATAGCCTCATCCCTACCTTGCTGCTTTTCTCGCGAGCCCTGCAATAATTATTATATGATCATACAGACAGGGGGATCTAGGGGGGGGGGTCGGCAGTTGAACTCACCCCCCCCCCCTTGGGCGGCCAAGTGAAGGAGAGAAAAAAAAGAGGGGAAAAAGAAAAAAATAACGGTGCGATTTTTGAAAAATCCTGGATCCGCCACCCCCTTGGCAAAAAGTTAGATCCGCCCTAGCTGACAGGTACCTAGTAGTACGTACACCCTGGTATAGAGAGGGACAAATGCGGGCAAAACACCTTGTCCAAGGATGTAATAACTAAATCATACACGTATATAAGGCGTTTAGGAATCCAAGACATATCTTCCTACTGGTTCTCATTTAACCCACCTGAGTCGAGTGAATCAATCGATGTACACTGTACGTACATGAATGTCGTTTTAAGGGATCGCTAGTGACGTGGCATATTGGACCCGGACTCCACTGATACTTTACTTGTGATCCAAAGTCCGGTGACATACTAGATTAAAGCACACCCCATGCACATAATGGTTCTATTAAGTATTAAATGTTATCCTCGCAGGGGTGCGAAAAATGAGAAATATTAACCATTTAATGTTTTAAGCCCCACTGTCCTACTTGTAGCTACTTGCTCCCTCTATATAGAAAACTTCCCCAATCCGTGCCTGTTGGTCCCCCATGATCCTCTTTTTCTTATGTTAGTTGAGAGCTGAGTTAATGAGATAGCAACCTGTCAGTGACCTCGCTGTGTGGTCTAATCCCTTCTGGCCCAGTAGTGTTGACGGTCTTTAATTCTTGTTCTTATTCCTGTTAGTTTGTCTACTTTGCTTTGCTTTAATCCTTCGATTAAAAAGAGTTACTTTGTGAAGTTAGTGGTAATAGAGAGTTTAAAGACAATTAAATTCCGTTTAGGAGACCAGCCTGTAGGTCCCGTGACCAATCTCGGGGAACAAAGGTTTGAAAGTGTTTTTGTGTTCCCTGATGAATACCGAACAATTTTGACTTGGGCTGCCCCCTTGAAAATCCCAGGCATTTTCGTGAGGGGTCAACAAAGGTCATACAGGGTAGAAATTCAAATATATTCCAATCTTGTCGATATGCATTTCAAACTACTCGTCTGGTCATGAGGATTGAAAAAATGTATAGTTTGCTATACCTCCGACCTTAAATGAGGGCGCTATGGTCAAAAACGTTGAAAGGTCAACACACTTTTGACTGGTGGTCAAATTCACCAACACGGTTAACCTTATCAAATTTCATATCAAATTACTCGTCTGGTCATAAGGATTACAAAAATGTATAGTTTGTTATACCTCTGACCTTAAGTGAGGGCGCTATGGTCAAAAAGGTCAATGCACTTTAGACTGGTGGTCAAATTTACCAACACAGTTAACATTGTCCGATTCTAATGATTTTAGTGTCTAATAATATGTTTTCTGACATAAAAAAATTCAACTAAGCAACTTTTAAAACCAAAAGTGGTTGCCATAACCTTGAAATTTCCCTCAAACCCATGGATAAGAAGTTATATGTTTGTCACCGAAACGGCAGCCATTTTGAATGTACATGGTCAAGATAAGTACTTTTAATTTTGAAAGTTGTATAGTTGAATTTGCCGTGTCAGAAAACATATTATAAGACACTAAAATCATTAGAATCGGACAATGTTAACTGTGTTGGTAAGTTTGACCACCAGTCTAGAGTGCATTGACCTTTTTGACCATAGCGCCCTAATTTAAGGTCGGAGGTATAACAAACTATACATTTTTTGAATCCTCATGACCAGACGAGTAATTTGATATGAAATTTGATAAGGTTCACTGTGTTGGTGAATTTGACCACCAGTCAAAAGTGTGTTGACCTTTCAACGTTTTTGACCATAGCGCCCTCATTTAAGGTCGGAGGTATAGCAAACTATACATTTTTTCAATCCTCATGACCAGACGAGTAATTTGATATGCATATCGACCCGATTGGAGTATATTTGAATTTCTACCCTGTATGACCTTTGTTGACCCCTCACGGAAATGCCTGGGATTTTCGAGGGGGCAGCCCAAGTCAAAATTGTTCGGTATTCATCAAGGAACACAAAAACACTTTCAAACCTTTGTTCCCCGAGATTGGTCACGGGACCTACAGGCTGGTCTCCTACTAGTTTTCAGTGAAATGTCATGCGGACTACAATCGTGTGAGGCAGGGCTGTAAAAACGAAATGGTAAACAAGCTGTCCCGCGATCATACGTCCCAGGGAATAGAAAGTTTAAACACACAATCGAATTCCGTTTTCAGTGAAATGTTATTCTGACTACAATCATGTGAGGCAGGCTAAAAGCGAAATGGTAAACAAGCTGTCACGTGATCATACATCCCCGGGGATGTATGGATGGTGTCAAGAAACTTTCACTTTGGGTGAACAAACTTTCTATGAAGTCAATGCCATGGTAAGGTAAGACCATAATGGACCCTACGCATCGTTTGTGACAAGCAATGAACCCTGTGTCAGATATATATCAAACATTTGTTATCTTCAATTGAGTTGTCATTGAGATAAGTGTATATTTGAGGAGTGGGGTTGTTCGAGGGTCATGGTCTGGTAAATGATAAGAGTATAATGTCATCTGACAGCAAGTAGGTAGTTCTTCAACATTATCAAGTTGATTGTGTTTTTATATTATTCCTGCTGGTATGGCGACAGGAAAGAAGAGGAATAACAACAGGGCCGACATTGTGACAATCTATACATCCCTTTTATATCTCCTGAAAACAATAATAGTTGGAGGATTTTTTATTATACAAAATAATACACAGCATTAGGACATTAGTAACAATTACCCACACGAGGTACACTAATTGCAACAGTCTAGTCGAGGGTTTTAGGACTGTTTTGAAGGTACCGAGTGTGAGTAATTTTACTAATGCCCGAACAGAATGTGTATTATTTCTTTTATAAGATGATCTTTTATTTGTTTTATAAAATGAAGTTATATAAAATGATTTTGATAATGACCGGTCATTACCATTGGATAATGACCAGTCATTATCCAAATTACGCGTTAGGCAAACTAAATGCCTGGTTACGTGTACCGTTTTCGACCAATCATTTGATTAGGATCCACGTCATCATCTTTCTGTATGAACATCATTAGTAACTGCCACACGCTTGCATATTTGATTACCGTAGGAGATCATGGATCTCATACAGATACTAAAACTATGAAAACAACTTTTATTGATATGCTCTTTAAACACAACAATCAATGAATCAATGATTCATGGAACAGGTAATGATAATATTCCCCCTCCCCCTACCCCTCTCCCCTTGAAAGTTGCAAAAAGATATGATAACGAAATTCATTTTCGTTGCATCTATAGACTTTAATCCATGCATATACCAATTTGGAATGGTGTCCGACCTTTAATCCTAATCCTAACCCTATACCAGTTTGAAATAGTGTCGGACCCTATAACCCTAACCAAGTTATAAAAATAATTCCGACTATATAGCAACAACCAAAACATGATAATGAAAAAATTACGAAAAAACGAGGTCATTGATTACACCCATAAGTTTAAAAGGAAGTGTCCTTCTCTTTCAGCGATAAATGTATACCTCCTGAAAACCAGAAAAACCACAATATCATGCATATCATCAGCGTTCAGTATTGAACCGAAACTAGTTTGAGTTCAGCATTATAGGTCACAAACTTTTCTCGATAGGACTACACACCAGCCAGCCAGGCAGGCAGGCAGGCAAGCATTCTTCTCTCGGTCCCATTGTCCCTCCTCTGCCTCACTGCTTCCACACATAAATTAGCAGCGCTCCGTTTACTGGGTAAGTTAACAATTCAATCAATGACGTATATTATATTGATTTTTCTGTTCGTTTCTATACGTGCGGGTACAGAACGTATCGAGATGAAAAGAGAGAGAGAGTTAGCTTTAAAATGGCGTCAACGTAGATATCAATTGCATGGTGACGCTACAGTATTTTCAATTCATTGCGAAGTGTCAACAATTTGCCCACTGATCCAGGTAACTGTTTTAAAATTTGATATATATGTTGTCATGTTTCACGTACTTGGACTTAGTTTCTTTAAAATATATAGTTCATGTAATTTCATGAAATTCCATGTGTTTATAGGCACCGGGTGATCACATCTTTATTGCTGGTATATCTTTGTTTATACATCATATACCCGGATATATACAATTCATGCATTTGCGAAATGACTATATGATAACGGCTAATTAGCAGATTCGCTCTCTAGAAAACTGTTATTTAGGTAAGCTGATCTGAATGCAGTATCAGTACGAGAATACACCCGACGGTGGCCTGTACTTATAGTGAAGAAGAAGAAGAAGAAGATATGCTTTTCTGCTCGGGCAGCATCTTATATGTTGCTAAATTAGTTCTCAATTCATTCTAATATTATGTTTATATGTTGCAGTGCGTATACTGTACTGTTCGACAATTCTCTTCGATATGTTTCAGTTCGATTCAGTTTATGTTCACGAGTATTGAACGAGGGGTTGGCATGAATATCAAAATAAAGAGAGATAAATTAAATAGTATGAATCAAAGGGCTTATATATATATATATATATATATATATATATATATATATATATATATATATATATATACCATATAGTAGATAAAGCGTTGTGTACATAATGATAATACAATATTGTTCTTCGTTGGTTTAAAGAGAAAGTTGAGTTCTGGGGAGAGGTGAAAAATAATTTGGGAGCGTAATATCTTTGTTATTATGCAGGTGTGGAAGAATATCAGACAACAACATGTTCCCTGAAAAGCATGGCTCTTCAAATGCTGTCATATTTGTAATATGAAGTAACACCTTTAAAATGAGGCCCGATTTTTATGCCACATGTTTGTGTAGTTCCATATACATCTTTCTGCGTACCGAGTATATTACTTGTTACTTTGCCAAGACTGGGCCAAATTTCTGATCATTTTGATGATTCCAGGGCATCATCAGCTGGTACGGAGAGGGCTGATTCAAGTTTAAAAAAAAAATATTTTAGACAACTTTCTTGACCACTGTAAAGTTTAATACAATGTTAAATATAATGGCAGGTAGATTATTTTGAACTTTAAATTTCCAAGTTGCATGTTTGAAATAGGAAACAAAAAACTATACCCTCTGCCCATGTAGTGGGCAATATTATTTTCTTTGCAAGTTGAAATATTTGCTTCGTCTGCTACAGTAAACCGTTATCATTGTAGAGGTTGAATGTTTCGTCATACAAGTCAAATAGTTACGTAACATGGACTCAAATAGAAGAATGTAATGAGTAACCTTCTCTCTCTCTCAAGAAAGAGAGATCCGATAAATGATAGGTAAGAATGAACAGGGGAAGATTATGAGAGGGAGAGACAACTGACAGACAGACAGACAGACAGAGAAAGGGGAGGAGAGAGAGAGAGAGAGAGAGAGAGAGAGAGAGAGAGAGATGGGACCCCGGGGGGGGGGGGGGCAGGGCTAGGTTCGACACAGTGACTTTCATTTTTTAGGTGTTCCTATTCAAGCGTTATTGTATGTAATCCTTTTGTTTGTAATCACCTCATTGGCAAACCGCCCTCCCTCCAAAAATAAATGAATAAATAGCGATGATAAGGAATAACATAAATACTGTCCTATTTCTGTAATGGAAAAACTCACAGTGATATTTCAAACTGTAATATTATAAACAAACAATAAAACAAGCACCATTCAATTACAGATGATAACTGTGTCTGGAACGCGCATACAAAATGTTGTTTTATAAATAAACTTAAATCCTGATCGAGATCAAATTTGAATGACCTCAATCATGTCGAGATTGCAGGGATGGGTGCAATGTTCTGATAATGAAATGATAAAATAAACAATAGCTATTTTTATTGTCTCTGAATACGTGACTGCCTGTAGATCGATGTTATGTACGTCTTTTGGGTGGATAAAGCATAGACATGATAAAGGATATTTAAACATGAAATTTTAGTTTATTTGTCCTATATTCAAAATCTCTTGTGGAACTTGTTAGTATCATACAGAATGTAAATTGCCATGCAGATACAGAAAAGGTGTATTTATCTCCAAAATCTGGAGTACAGAAGCGTTTTTTTATATTTTTCTACAAACCACATGAATATCCTATTCAAGAGCAAATGAAGAATAAGATATATTACCCTTTTACAGTGGTTGATTTACTCTGAGCTATGTTATGAAATAGCATATTTTGATAAACCCCCCCCCCCAAAAAAAAGAAGAAAACAAAACAAACATGTACATAATTTATATTCTTCTTCATGTGAGGTCATGTCATGTGTGCTGCTACAGCATACATTATATTTTCTGCTTCAAGCCAGGATATTACATCGTTTGATCCGTGTGAGCTTTTCACATAATTTATTATTTGTTTATATTTGACTACTTTTTCACTACCGTTGCTAGATAATTATTGATGATTTATGAATCGAATAAAATGATATATATGCGGCAACCTGCTAAGAAGCCCTCTGTTGATATTCTAGTTTCCATAGCAACAAGTTGTGGCGGGAAGGTGTTGCGTACATTATTGATCACTCCTGCGATGTGTGTGTATTGTAGCTAGTGCCTATTGTAGGCCTACAGACGGACGTGGAGATGAAGAAGATAATCCTCAAAACATTCATCCCGTTCTCAGTAGCAATTCCGAATCTACCTTTTGGTGGTTCTTGAGTTTCTATATGATCACCCTTCCATTGAAATTCCTAGAGCGCTCTTTTTTCCTTCGATTTTTAAGTCCAAACTGGATATTCTATCCTTGGCGATCTACAGATGGAAAGTTGGTACGATGCCATAGCTGACAGGTGGCATGTGTAATATACGTATTACCTTGTGGTCTGTTTACCTTCAAGGCACAGACCCTTTCCAGCCATAACATGCAAAGAATGGTCTGAACGGTGAGACTGTAGACTACACTCTATACAAAATAGCTGTTTATCTTATTTGACATTGCCAGACTTAACACAGTTAGGCTAGGCTCAAGGCTTCATGGAATATTATGAAGCATGAAATAGAGTACGAGGCTCCGAACCTGCAGATTAATAATAATCATAATAATAATAGGCATTTCTATAGCGCCGTCTATCTAGAAATTGTATTCCGAGGCGCATTGTTTAAAATTATTACCCCGGCTTTAGCCTAGCTGCCGTTACAGCGCTCCAGCATTTCAATTTCAAGAATTAATTCCTGCCAGGTACCCATTTACATCACCTGGGTTGAGTGTGGCAAATGTAGATCAATGTCAAAGGACATTAGTGCCGCGGCGGGACTCGAACCGCGGATCTTGTGATCTACAGTCCGGCGACGTATTCACTCGACCACCACACCTCTAATCTGTTGAGATAGTAATAGTAGGTGAGAAAAAATAACTTGCTCATTTGCGTTATAGTCTTTTATAATTTGTATTTTTTATTTCATTTTCTTCATAGATCACCATGGAACGGTTGGGTTTATTCGTGTTCGTCGCGCTGTCATTGATGTGTATTTCAACAGGTGAGTAGCTCTTTGTGACATCATCCTACTTCATGAAAGAGAGAGAGAGAGAGAGAGAGGGAGAGAGAGAGTGATTGATTGATTGATTGATTTTTATTCGACAAGCTTCCAACATACAACAATATACAATAATAACAGATCAAAAATAAGTCAGCTTGAACAGGATAACCCACGAAAGCTCGAGAGCTTATTTCCAGTGGGGGGGGGGGGGGGGGGGGGGGGGGGGGGGAAAGAGAGAGAGAGAGAGAGTGAGAGAGAAGAGAGAGGGGGAAGAAAAAATAGATTTTTTATAGTAAATCTTCTTCCCGCCCCCCCCCCCCCCCCCCCCCCCCCTTAACATGTGCAATATTCTATGTATAGAATTGTTTATTATGTTCTGGGAGTAGCATGTGTGGGGGCACATGCCTCCGGGCAACAGTGATGAACTTCACTTTTGTGCACCATGACCCACTTGCTGCTCCCATATCTCTTTGCATGTGTTTGTTCATTCTTATCATGTACCTGTCTCTTACCATATGCTGTATCGTTTTTGTGCTTTTTATGAATGTTCGAATAAATTATAATAACAATAAGAGAGAGAGAGAGAGAGAGAGAGAGAGAGAGAGAGAGAGAGAGAGAGAGAGAGAGAGAAGAGAGAGAGAGAGAGAGAGAGAGAGAGAGAGACAGACAGAGGGAGAAAGAGAGAGAGAGAGAGAGAGAGACAGGAAGAAAAACAGTTATTTTAGATTGGAGGAGGAGAAAGAGGTGGGGTAGGAATTAAAGAGGGTATGGGAGAGATGAGGAGTGGCAGTTAAGTCTCAATACGCTATGGTGAGGGAGAATGAGAGATGGGAAGAGAGAAGTCGTGGAATACAAAATGAAATGTAAAGAAATGGTTTGGAGATTTTAAAATTGTCAAAAGAAATGATAAATAATGTAAACGTGTATCGATCGTAAAAGAAGACGGCTGTTTTAAAAGATGAGATATTGTTTTCATTCTCGTATTGCCAGTGGAATGTAGCGACATGGACATTGGCCGAATGATACAATGGGTCGATGCTAAGGTAGGCTGGCTCATCAGTGCTCGCAAGTTCCAGAACTATGGATGCTACTGCAGTAAGAACGGTCCTACTGATGGAATCGTGCCGGTGGATCAGATTGATAAGTGAGTAATAAATAGTTACAGTCTGACTAAAGACTACAGAGTCAGTGCATGTAGGCTACTAGTATCACCTTGTCTGCTGGGGCGGATCTAGCTTTTTGCCAAGGGGGGGGGGGGGGGGTTGACCCAGTGGCGGATCAGGATTTTCCAAAAATCGCGCCGTCTTACTTTTTTTCCACTTGGTCGGGGGGGGGGGGGGGTGACCCCTTGATCCGCCCCTGATCTGCTTGCACTGACGTGGGTGAACATTATCATCTCCTCGTCTGTCATTGTTCGGATGATAATGATTATGATGATCATGATGAGAACAATGATGCAATTTTGGAAATTTACCGGGAGAGACCCATCAGAAAAAGCAATAATGGGTCCAATACTCTATAACCCTCCCCCCCCCCCCTCCTCCTTCTCCCCCTCCTCACATGTTTGCCATTCCCTGGGTGTGCCTAAGCGGTGTCTTTTGATTTGCCTGCTTGTGCCTAAGTGGGGTCTTTTGAAGTCAAAGCCCTGTAGATATTTAACCAACATCTACTTTTTTGAACCCCAGAATCATGGATCAAAGTCTAATCCATTGTTCAGTAACTGACCGATTAGTAAAGGGTGACTCGAAATATAGAACGACAATAATGCACAAAATTTACTCTGCACATTATAGGACGAATGCAATCTTTATTTTTGATTAGGTATGTAGACAACTAGCAAACATTAAATACGGCTAGGGATTTAGAGTTTACATATCATATATGAGTTATTATTGTACAATGAAACCTGTGTGTATTAAGACTGCCCAAAGGAGAGAAGAAAATGGCCGGTATGTACAGGTTTATTCAGTGCATGTTTTAAATGAGAAACGATTCAACGGAAACCAAAAATTGTTCTTGAGAGGCAGGAGGTCTTAAAATACATAATATGGTCGCTAAAACATGTTTGACTGGTATTGCAGACGGCATTGATGTGTCATCTCATATCTTTCTTTTTTCCCTAACATGTAGAAACTACGAAGCATTATCCTCTAGTCTATAGTCTAATATAATGAGAATTCTTACACACGTTTGTGTAATATTCCATACGTCCATTGGTTTTTCTTGCAGCCATTGTTTTTAATATTCAGCTTTTTAATTTTGTTAAGATTGTAGAGGTTCTAAAATCCATACAAAAGCTTTAATATCTTTCGAAATGCAATACTAACATGGAATACGTTTATAATATACATGTATACTAAATAACAACGTTTTACACGTTTCAAGGTCATGACCCCAATATTCCGTTCATTGTACTTTGATCTGATTTAACCGCTAACCAATAACTGAAACATAAAGATAAAGATGACATTAAGATAATAATGGGATGTTTACTCTGATGAGTATTTTTGATATTACGGGTGATGTTCAAACACGATCTACTGTCTATACTGATCATGTTAAAGGGATCCGGTAACTTTGTCTCAGATTCTGAAACAAAATTCTGGATTTAGCTCATGATGCAATTATAATTATAAACCTTTAGGTCAGTCAGGAACCCAATGACTTTTACAAGCCGATCGCCTGTCTGATTATGAAGATATTTATGATTGGAAATCGAATCCAAATTTTGCGTTTGCCAAACGGTTTTCACAACACTGCAGTCTATTGGGGAAACAAATATGGTAAAACCGGTCACTCAAAGATTTTTAATTTTTTTGGAGGCACTTCTTGATCATTTTGAAGCGCGATTTTTTTTGTAGGGCTTTAATATGACACCATATCACAGACACTGATAACATGTAGGGCCGTGCATCTCAGATTTAACATTGTTAAACGATACCTTTAAGCATGCTGTGTTGATTACAGAGGTTCGATAATGATACTCATGATATAATAATTGGGTCTCATTTACCCAGGCCCAGGGTAGCCACATCAGTATCCATATTACCGGTATACTAGCTGCTCTTTCTTCAAGCCCCGGGGAGTGTTTCACAAAGGCTTAGAACGACTTTAAGTTAGACTTAACTATGGCAGGCTGTTCATGCCACTAGTTTCTCTCACGGTTATTATGATCCTTAGATAATATTTTTTCCTTTAATAATGAAATATCAACAACAACAAAAATTCTGTAGATTTGTGACCACTATTTGTACGTCCCTTGATAGACCAATGCCAGTAAATGGTGAGAGCAAACAGTGGCATGAACGGCCTGACATAGTTAAGTCCAACTTCAAGTTGATCTTAGTCTTTGTGAAACACTCCCAGTATGTATAAGTACCCCAGCATATGCCAGGTATCCATTTACTCCTGTGTAGAGAGTTGTATAAGGTGGATTTAATGTCTTACCAAAGGAATTCAGTGCCGTGCTGGGCTTCGAACCCTCAACTCTCGGATTGGTAGACAATTAATGAACTACCGTACAACTACACCTCCACATCCTGAGATAACTATGGCAAAATAAAGCAAATGGAATAATTGTTTGCTTTAAACTTCAAATAGCCTATATATTATGTCCAATGATTCAGAATATCCGATCTAACACATTCTTAATTTGTTTTAATCGATGTACTTTGCCTATTTATCATTTTAACTAAGATAATAGGCCTATTATCTTATTAGCAGTCTTATTATAAAAAAAATCTTCTTGATACTCGCAGTGGAAAATTTCAAGCAAAAAGTAATCACTAAATGCGCTGAAACATAGATTTACATCTTTTGTGATTTTTTGTTTTTTTAAGGGTGTTTCTGAAACTCAATCCGTAATTTCTATCGAAACTCAACTTGTTGAGAAAGATATTTGAATCCGTTGGTGGTTATGTTTCACCTTTATTCTTCCTTCTCGGGACATATTGGGTTTTCTTTACTTCCTAGCTCTCAAACATTTGAACACAAGTGCGATGAACACAGATGTATACAACGGAAAGGCGAATATATCTGTTTCTAGTTCGATTCAATAACAGGAAGTCACTTGATTTATTTCTCTACCAAAGTTTGTTGACCTTGCCTGCAATGCGTGTACCTCTACAGAGGTCTCATGACCTGTATTGTATTCAAATTCAACCTTGCCATTGCGTTTATGATCATGAGCGCTCTACAATTTTACAAAATAACATTTCGCCATGACCTCAGTTTGCAAAAGCTATCCAATCCCAATCCACCTCGTCGTAAAATCGTAAATTCAGACGTTGATCTCAAATTCATTGTGATTTGCGAATTGTTATCCCCCCACCCTAAAACGTGATTTTTGTTTATTGAGTCCCAATTAACAACGTACATGATTTAACTGTAAATCTAAATCTGAATAGTATTATGATGGTTTTTGAAACATAATTTTAGACATCATTTCTTTATGTGATTTAAAGCATACTCAACGAATACGTGGGAATCTTTCATGAAAGCAGTATATTACAAGACTCTGAAAATTCTCTGACTGGGAGAAAAAAAAAGCATCAACATAAGTTGTTAAATTGCTGCCGGGGAGGCACAATGACGGGGGAACAGTTTTATTGAGCACTTACTATGTACTTATGGTATGACATCAGTATTGGGCTGACAGGAGAACAATGCCCCCCCCCCCCCTCCCCACCCCAACCCACCGACGGTTAAATTTCGTGTCTTCTCTCTCAAATATTTGTTATGGGTTAATGGTTGTCGTAATAAATATTATTCGGCACTGAAAATCGATTTGACTCACAAAATAACACAAACCATGTTATTAAAAAAACAGGAAATTCGCGACGTGGCCACATGAACTTCAAGGTCGTTGTGTATAACATCTATAATGCCTTTGGAAAGTTCGTTCGGTGTACAAAGGATGTGGAAACATAATACCCCATGGGCCCATGCGCAATTCCAAAAAGAGTGCCAGGCTCTTTCTATGTTTCATTTTTTGAGGCAACAGACATCATGATTATTAATCTGTGCAGTTTCCAAAGTATTCATTGTCCAATCTTATTTTCAAAAAAAAAAAAAATCATTAATCTTACAACACTATAACTTCTGCACAAGTAAGGGAATTTAAATTTGGCGGAATTCGAACAGGTTGCAGTACATACATGTATACCTTTTAAACTAATTAATTCAATGCACCCAGGAATGAATGAATCGTTATCAGGGGCAGACTCGAAATTAAATTCAGTCCAGACATTTTAGCCTGACCGATCTGATGTTCAGTTCAATTCAACTCAGTTTATTCAGTTCCAATAAAATATACAAGACAGAAATCAATCGTGAAAGAATAACAGTATAAATCCATCAAGAGTACAAAATAAGGTAAAATGATAAAACAATAAAGTGAAACATCAGATAACAACACAAGATAGAGCATTATTGGAATTGGGTGGCCATAATTTTATTCATAAGGGCTTTTTCTACTTCAAAACGATTTACCCTCAAAGACGACGGGAAAACTGTCCACATTTTCCAAGTCAGTCTCTGATACTGTCTTAATCTGTAGATGCGTCGTGGACTAGTGGATACGTCGTCGGACTGTGGATCACATGGTTCGCGCTCCGAGTCCCACCGTGTAACTAATGTCCTTTGGCCAGACATTAATCTACAACTGCCACTCTCCACCCAGGTGTTAAATGGGTAGGAAGGAATTCCTTGATTTCTGTGCACACCGAAATCGGTGGCCTAGCAAAGCCGGGGTAATATTTATAACTTGTATACCCAATGACCCAATCGTACGAAACATGACTTTTTATGTACTGTTAATACCTCTTCTCGTTGTAGATGCTGTATGAGACATAACCAGTGTTATGACGGACTTGTTCGTGAAGGTGTTTGTGCTGGTGATACCTTTGGTCAGAGTTATGGCTACAAGAAGATTACAGAGAATGGGGCAAAGACCATGACATGCAGTAAGTATAAACATCAATCATGCACTATATAGAACAAGTTTTGATTGAATGTTTGTTGTTGTTTTCGTTTTTTCCTTTCTCAAATGAAAATGTAGAAAGATATTAATACTGTACATGCAAGTTACAGGTATAGTAATAGGATTTTATGGCTATCAATATTATCTGCTTATATAATTTGGGTTTATTGATGTGCATAGACTCGATTTGACTTAGATATGCAACAGGTACAACAATGATACAGATATTATGATTCATTGATATAAAAGGTTAGGGGTGCTTATTATAAAAGTAGTCTTTTCAAGGGATCATCAACATACCAATGTTAGAACCCCTTGTTCAGAACAGTATCTCTATGTGGGCCAGACTGATATCATTTACATCGTAGAGGGGGTGATAACAAAATAACCATAGCAAGCTTGTCTCGACTTTTCATGACTCAAAGCACATAGAGCCTCATGAATCTATGACGCGAGCATGCAGTAATATGAAAGTTATGAAAGTTATTAAATTATCATCGAACTTTTTGGTTACCATGGTGGATGGTAATTTGGATTTTAAAAAGCCATGGTTATCATGGTTCTTTTTTATTAATGGGGTAGCTTCGGGAGGGCACAAGGGCTCAACACACAAGGAGCCTTGAGGGGGGGGGGGGGGGGGGGGGGGGGTGAGCTTTGGGGCTTCTGCATATGCATGCCACGAAACAAAAAATTGTGGAGGAGGGTGCTTGAAGAATTTGTTTAGGGCTTGAGTTCCCCCAACCCCTAGTAACTTTCGTTCATCTAACGTTCTTGTTATTTTGTTTAATTGATACAGCTTCTGATCCTCATACGGAGACGTGTAAATACGAGCTGTGTAAATGTGATGCTACGGTGGCACATTGCTTTGCTGATAATGAACCACATTATAATTCCAAGCATAAGGGTGTGGGTAAATCATCATGCCAGCATGCTGGAAAGTGAAAACCTATTCAACTATTATGCTGACTTGGCTTTAGGCCAAAAAAACACAAAACAACATGTTTAGCGTCCTGTTTTTTTGAAAACTAGGAAGGAGGGGGCCCTTTTTTTTCAAAATGGCCGCTCGGTACATTTTCCCTGACAGTCGGGCTATTTTTAAAGATGGCCGCCGACATTTTTTTTTTTTTTTTTTTTTTTAAATCAGAAATAGATCCATTTTAGCAGTGTTTTTCAGGTTTTTTTCTTAATTTTTTTTAAAAACAAAAATCAAAAATCAAAAATCAAAAAATTGGAGGCCCCCCCCCCTAAAATGAAGCGGGCGGGGACGCTAAACATGTATTTTTTTTATTGTCTTAAGAATCGTGGAGAAATTTGTATAGACCCAGAAAACATTGAATCAAATGTATCATACCAAATGTACTAAGCTGAATTCTACTCTTGTAACTTATATATACATGTCATTGTACATTGAAACTGCAAGGATGTAATTCTTTTCCCCCATGCACCTGAATGCAAATAATCTTTCTTTCAATGACCCGTTTATCCAGAATAGTTTGTTTGATTGTCCTTTATTAATATTTTCCTGTCGTTTCATGAAAATTTAAAACCCATAATAATAATAATAATATGTTAAAGTCCACTCCAAATTTTATTAAGTTAAACCGAAAATGGAAATTCTTTTTGCCCAATTAATCGTGTGCAAAACACTCATTGAATAAAAGGGTATTTTATGGCGTTTTTATTTTGTTCAATTCCAAGCTAGTTGTCCCATGCACTACCATAGTTACAGACCTCATCTTAAATTGTCGTATATAAATCATGATGACTGTATCAGACTGGTAACCCTTCTTGAGGTTTGAACAGGCAAAGTATCAAGTTAAATTATATTTTTGTATCAATTCGTGTTCACAATTCCATAATCCAATTCCGTTATACACTTGAATAAAATATGGAACATACCTTGTACAGAATGTGCCAACTATGCAACCAGCTTATTAGGGTTCATGAAATGTCTACTATACGTGAACTATGCATCTTAACATGTCATCCACTGTGTGTGCTTTACGTTCATATCAATTAATCAATTTAAATGAATATATGCAATCACAATTATGATACAGATTTCTGAAAATCAGAGGGAAAATGTATGTCAAAATCTCCTTACATTAATGTGAGGACATATTAATATTTTTCGGAGTCCGTGTTCTGATAGTGAATTAAATAAAAACTAAAATTGCCCGAAATATTTGTGATTCCCAATTATATAATCATGACGTCAAATTTTCATGAAGCTTAGTATTGAGATTAATTATTTTAATTGTTCTTCTGTAAATAGCATTATTTAATGAACTATCATATTTTTTATTATCATCTGACAAATTACTTTGTCCAATCTTAAGATTAAGATATGTATAATTATGTTTAATGAGGGATCCCATATACTGTAATGTACTTCATAATTAACTCCACTTTTATACATTTAATTAAATTTCACTCTTGAAGGAGTGATTTTTTTTTACAAACAAGTCCGATGACGGATTATTTGCTTGCGTTCAGAGCATTTTAATATATATGATTTATAAACTTCTAGAAATGTTGAAACCGAGATTTTTAAGTGCCTCTATGTAATTAAAATAACTGTGTCAAAAAGTAATAGTCATTACCGTACGATAGTGATGGAATGAGATCAAATTATATATAATATCAATTTAAAACAATTAAAGGGATAGAACATCAGAAGTAAATGAAAAAAATAAAATACATGAAATAACAAATCGATTAAAAAAGTGAATGTAAGATTTGAAAGAACAGGGTGTTAAAATGTTTTCTATTCATTTACGTCTAGATTTCGACGGAAAACGGAGAAAACAGGAAAGTTAATAATACATTGAAAATATAATATAATATATGGCTAATAAGTAGGCCTATAGGTACATAATATACCTTAAAATGCTGTGCCATAATAATACCGCTTAGCAATCAATGAATATATATTTTGAATATAATTGATTTTATATCTATAAATTTGAGGTTTTAATCGCAAAACATTTTAATCGTGAGTTTTGTTATTTTGTTATGTGTGTCAAACGTTCGCTTAAAGTTTCATTGTAAATGGCAGAAGTGTGTGCATACAGGAAGAAGGATAATAGAGGTGATTAAGAAGGAGAAAAGGGAGATGGAGAGAAAGCGAAAGAGTGGAACGACAGGAGAGAATGAGAGAGACTTGGAGAGAGACAGAGAGAGACACAGAGAGACAGAGAGAGACAGAGAGAGACAGAGAGTTACAGAAAGCAAGATAGACCAGGGACTTTAAAGGCTCACCTCCCTGGACAGACAAACAGAGAGAAGTAGAGAGAACAAATTAGAGAGAGCGAGAGAGGGGAAGAATGAATGAGGAAAAGGATGAAAAAGAGAGAGACAGACATACAGACTGACATAAAGTAAGAGAGAACGAGAGAGAGAGAGAGAGGCAACACGACAGACAGACAGAATGAAGGAGAGAGAGAGGGGGAGAGAGAGAGAGAGACAACACGACAGACAAACAGAAAAAGGAGAGAGAGAGAGAGAGAGAGAGAGAGAGAAAGAGAGAGGGAGATAGAATGTACTATGTGGCTGTTTGTGTGGGTGGACAGATGGAAGGATTGTAGAGGGGGGATACATAATTAATGATTCATAAATTTATAAGTCATCAGGAAGAGGCTAAAGAAAGGAATTAGGGGCCGGAAGGGTTACATGTCGGGGTTCTTAGAGATTTCAGAGAAATGGAGACAGGAAGGTCTTGAACGTAGTTTCGAATTGTTAAGTGCATAGTAAATGAAATATAGTATCTATTAAAAAAAAATACACAAAATTTCGTTAAATTAATAACTTCCAATCATGCCTATACGGTAGCACATTTTTGCCGCCTAAATATTAGGATATTCGGACATTCCGTTGCCCGAAATCAAATGGGTTTTAGCCAGCAATGTCACTTATTATGGTAAAGTTGTATTTCGTCATCAAATTTCACTAGATAAGGGTCTCATAAATTTGGGCCCCTCACTGCCACATCAGAAGAAATTCAGTTACCTTGCAGCCCGAATAAGAGGATATTCATGCATCCTGCTACCCCAAACCATCCTATTTCTAAATTCTACGAGCGAGCAAAAACAGACAGTGCAATATATTTCAAATGTCATTTCCTCCTCAACGTACACTAGAAATGATACAGAAATGATATATTCGAGTACAATGTTCAGGTGCCTCGATGCCCAAATATAAAATGGCGGTTTCTCGAATATTGGAACTTTAAAAAATCTTCGGGAGGGGGGGGGGGGGGGGGGGGCTGCAGCACCACCAGCCCACCACACTCCCTCCTGTTACGCCTCTGTCAATTTACTTCACCTGAGTGGAGAGGGCTGAGAGGGTAGATTAATGTCATGCCACATTTTTCCATTAAAATCAACTTTAAAATTGCACCTTTGTATTATCCCAATTGAACTTCACTTTTCTTCGGCTTTGATAGCTATTTTAGAATAACATTTTTTTCCCGTAATCGTTAGCATTATATCGCACATTATTGTATATCAATGTTATATAGAAAGCTGGTGAGTACTTAAAGGCCCACTGCACTACTTGTAGCTACTTGCGCCCTCTATATAACAACCAATGCCTAATCGGTGACCATTGGTCCCCCATGATCCTCTTTTTCTTATGTTAACTGAGAGCTGAGTTGATGAGATAACCACCTGTCCAGTGACCTTGCAGAGCGCTCTAATCCCTCCTGTAAACTATGGCAGATAAGCTTTAAAACTGAATTGGATCCATGATTGATATCAGGTTTGGCCAAATCTTCTCTCATGATGGAGCTAGATATTCAATGTTGACGTGATCTACACTAATTCACATTTCATCTTTAACAAATAATTCAAAAACATATATCATAAATAGATAAACAAAATATCTATCCATTTTTCGATGATTAAAATTTTCACACCTCTACCTTTTGTTAAACTTCAAATGTGCATATTTCCTAACTTTAATAACCTAAAGGGAAACAAAAACTTTCTCGCTCTATGCTTTGTAAATTATATAACAATCATACTGTAATTCAATTATAATCATGTATGGAAATTAAAGCCCTTTTAAAGTGTTGGGAGCCCTAAATTCGCCAAACATTTGTATGGCAAAATTCCACTTAAATTGTATCATAATGTGACACACTTCTGCAAAGATCCCCCCCCCCCCAAAAAAAAAAAAAAAAAAAATGTTTTTGAAGACAAATATTGATAAAAGTGGAATACACAATTATGGTTTTCTTTTGTACGCAGAAAACATAAATTTTGTATTCTTTCATCAATATTGGACTTCAAACACAATTGTTTTGAAAATCCTTGCCGAAATGTATCTTAAATGACATCATCTTTCACATTATGATATAATTTAAGTGCAATTTTGCCATCAACTTTTTTGGGGCTCCCAGCACTTAAGAGGGGCTTTAAGCAAAAAAAAAAGACATAAAATAACGCGTTTATATCATGTACGTGGCGAATAAACACTAGTATATTGTTCTCATTGCAAAGAGCCCCCCCCCACCCTTCCTATTACAAAAAATGTATTTAAATTTAATTTACACTCCATGTAAAAACATTAGGTTTGAGAGTGAACTTATGAGGATAGTCAAAGTGCCTTACGTCATTAAACCTTAAACGTAAAAGAAATCTAAATTTGGACGAAAAAATCAAACCTCTCCCTAAAAATTGAACCCCTGAACGTCAGCATTTTCCCCTTACATTTCCGTATCAGCATTACAGCCTCTTGTTGCTTAGCAACGACCGACCAATCAAAGGTGACATCATGAGCCCCCTATGAGGAGACACTCATTCAATTAGCTACTTTCTAAACTGAACTTCTAATGAGTCAGTTTGGGGGTATTATAAATGAAGGTCTGTTAGTGATTCAAGACAGTCTTTCTGATTTCATGTTGTGAGTAAGAACAACTATCATGGCTTGTACAAAAAAATGGGCAGTGTTTGCTGTATTCGTGTCTGTCATTGTTGGTAAGTATA